TGAGTGAAGAATAAGCAAAGAATATAAGAAAGGGACAGTTTCGTGACTGGGTGTGAAGCTAACTGCACGAGTTCGATGTTAGTAGAGAGTGAAGTGTACAGAAAGAAGTCATTCAAAAATGTATTATTTACAAAGCAATTACAGTGTAGGCAAGCACCACCTCAGAAACCTGGAAGGATTCTGCTGTCATGATTACATCCCTGTCCCCAGCAACTTAAGAATCTGGGTGCCTGTCAGAATCAGTGAATTACTCCGTGTACCAAGCCAAAAGACTGTGGTTGGTTCCACCGAAATCTTAAGAAAATTGTAATCCTATGGATAGAAAGCATAGCAAGAAAAAAATGTTTGAACAACATTTGTATGCACACTTTACCCAGGCAATGTTGTTCTCCAAGGCTCTAGCAAAGAATGTTAGCTCTAGTATTAGAAACAATGGACGGTTGTGTAAAACTCCAGCTTGCAAACCTATCACATGGCTCTACTGCCAAACTTGTCTTGGGCCCACCTTGCTGGATTTGGCTTAAATTGCCAACATAAAGATGAATCTTCTGCATGCCCTATACCTCATTGGAACTCTTACCAGGGATGTGGTAGCAGTAAAAAGCAACATAAGCATGGAGCTCTAAACTCAGTGAGAACACATCCAGCAGGAATAAGACAAAGTTGGAAGTGTATGTTAGGGTCGCACAAGGCCCATCTCTCTGTCTGCAACCAGCAGAGAAAATCCTCAATTTCGCATTATGATCATTATTCTCTCCATAAAGGAAAGGACAACTGCCTCTTCTAATGAAATAGTCTTTTCTTCCTGCTTGAATCAGCTGATTGTACTCTCTTTTAGGATTATATCATAATGGTCATTTAATCTAATACAGTAAAAAGGAAATCAGCAAAAATATCTTAATGACCAAGAGTTATTACCCAAGCCACTTAAAGAAAATTTTATCTACTCTGTCTTTCACAGATCTGGGATTTTATCTATACAAAGAAAGGGGAAATACAGTTTCAGAATTCTGAAGTAAGAAAAAGTTTCTGATAAACAAATAATAAAATGTATGATTTGATAAATTAGTTTTTGTGCACAAAACTTTGTAGCATTTAGATCACTTAGCCTCTTCTAAGAAGGCTCCTCAGAAATACCAGTTCATTGGGAATTTTCCCTCTACTCTATTCCTAGAGTGAGTAAATGTCTATATTTTAATTTAGCTCTTAGTCACATGAGATTTATAACATTCCTTGTATTATGTATTGAATTGTTACTTATCTATTGTATTGGCATTCAACATCATATGGTTTTATGAGGTGGCTCAGCATAGAAGAAAATATGTAGTTTTAGGGAAAGAAAACCTGAATTGCTCATTTTATAATGAGGAGGACTGGTACAATTACATAACTATTCTGAGTCTTGGTTTCCTTTTCATGAAAATAGGAAAAGTGGTACCCATTTTGTGTGGTTATTATGAGAAAGAAGTAAGATACATTTATAGTATCTAGCATGGGAATAGGTGCTTATTAAACTATTACTACCATTAAAGTCTCTTGTTATTGAGGCTTGGGGAAAGCCATTTGCCATGTGAGAAGTTCAACTATTCTGAGACTGCCATGCTGTGAAGTAGCTGCACATAGCTACTTCTCTCTCTGTGCATGCAGCCTACACATGGAAAGGCTGCATACACAGAGAGAGTGGGAGCAAGAGACAAGTCCAATCATCCTCAACTATTCTAGACATCTCAGCCCAGGCACCACACACAAAAGGGAAAAACGTTTCACTACAACTGTGGGAGAGGCTCCAAGCAAAACCAGCTAGGTGGGCCATTCAACTCCCAGAACAGTGAGAAATAATAATGAGTTGTGTTGAGCAACACAAAAGATTATTATTTCCTTTAAGCAAGTATTATTCATTGCATATTTTGTCTTTCCCAATATTTAGCTTTCTACATTATGCAGCAATCACTGTTAACAGGTAGATGAACTACTTTCTCACTTTATGTCTTTACTACACTAAACTAGTGATACACCATGTCAGTAAGTCTCTGTAAAGACACATTAATCTTGAAGCACTTGTCTGTTTCTCCATGTGTTTTCACAAATGGGCTCTCTTTTTCCAAATGTGTATAGAGAGGTAATCATATACCTACACAGATAGTGATTATTTATTGAGAGCACATGGTATGTAAACACTAAGTCCAATTTATCCATAAATCCTAAGAACAAAAACACCAGAAAAATATCACAATAAAATAGATATTATTTGTTTTATATTTATTTTGGGTCCCAGAGGGAGATCTATGATTTCATAGAAAGTGGGAGTAAAAATTCTCAACCTGAATCCAAGAAAGGGTACTAATTAAAATGACAAGATCTATATTTCATTTTTATTTATAAACTGATTTGCTATTGCGAAAAAAAATTCTCATAGAAATTTGGCCTCAGCAGTAATTGCACTTAGATGTGCATTTAGTCTTGAGTTCCCAGATATTAAAAAAAAAACAAAAAATTAATTAAAAAGATCAAATTTACTCATGATCTGAAAAAGAAGCATGCATATTAGTTATTTTGAAGAGACAAACAGTTTTTGGCACTAAATTCTGCAAGCACAACCTAACACAAATAATTTTATTTTGGTCCCTGATTAATAATGAACAATTCTTTCAAAAGCAACTTTTCAAGAAGATTTTAAAACTTCTTTTATAGGGAAATTACTTGTAGTGATCCTAAGGAAAAATAGGGATGTAATGTTAAATTTTAATTCAGTGAAAGCATTTTACTATGTCTGGTGTGATACCGGCAGAAGGGTTATGATCAGCAGGAGCTGGTGGTGAGCTGCTTTTCTGGAGAAGCAGAGAGAATTAATCTTTTTCAGTCCCTGTAGTGAAGTTAAAAAGAGAGAGAGAGAGAGAGTTGAACACTGAGACAATGAAATATAGAGAAGATGACAAAAGCTGTGTAAGAGAGAAACCAGAGCTAGAGCCAAGAAACTATCATCTGAGATCAGTAACGAGTAAACCAAGTTGAGCTGATGAGAGAAAGAGGTACAAGAAAGAAGAAGACCCCAAATGTCATTGAGTGCACAAAACCCCCAATCTAAACCAATTTTCTGTTGAACTGGACTAGTGTTTATGATGCTCTAAAGGTGTTCTCTGGCTCCTGATAAATTGATGGGATGATAAATAAATACCACCTCATTTTTCTTTGCTCTCAGTGCAAATTCATGCAATACAAACTAAAGAAATCCTGAAAGAATAATGATTAGCACTCTCTGCAGCAGATTCTAATTTTTTGAAATTTTTTTTTCACATGAGTCAAAGACAAGGTATTCTAGACTAAGCTCTGACAAGAATCTTCGGTTCAAATTACTGGCAGATCATTAAGGTAACATCCATTTACTTTACATTTTGGTGGTCCAGATGATGAAACTAATATTCTGAGTCTTAGGTTTCTCTGTATAAAAGATCATCATGTCTTCCCTCAGAGCTGAAAACAGGTATATAGGACTTATATATAGGTATGTAGGCTGGGCATAGTGACTCAAGCCTGAAATCTTAGCACTTGGGAAGGCCGAGGTGGGACAATTGCTTGAGGCAAGCTTGACACCAGTTGGGAAAACATAGTCTTATTTTTATAGAAACTAAAAAAAAAAAAAAAAAAAAAAATTAGTTGGGTGTTGTATTAGGCACCTGTAAGTCCCGGCTACTTGGGAGGCTGAGGCGGGAAGATCACTTGAGCCCAGGAGTTCAAGATTGCAGTGAACTATGATCATGCCACTTCCCTCAGGCCTGGGAAATAGAGCACAACTCTATTTCTAATCTCTCTCTCTCTCTCTCTGTCTCTCTCTCTCTTTCATCTATCTAATCTATCTATGCATACCTATATAAAGATGTATAGGTATGTACTAATTTCTCAGTTGTTTTATATTGAACATAAATAATTATCACAGAGTTCACTCAACTCTATAAATTTATCCACCATTTATTTACAGAAGTTCATAATTAGTCACTGAAATAAATGCAAGAAAGATCCTTAATGAAACTCAGTTCTAGAAAAACTGACAGCATTGTGTCATATATAGATCAGAGGTTGACAAATATTTTCTATAAGGGGCCAGATCATAAATATTTTAGGCTTTGCAGGCCAGAAGGTCTCCGTTGCAATTATTTGACTCATTGTGTGTGTGTAAAAGCAGCAATAAACAATACATAAACAAAAGAATGTGGCTTTTTTCTAATAAAACTTTATTTACAAAAACATGCAGTGGGCAGTATTTAGCTCTAAGGGTAGTTGGCCAACCCCTGGTGAAGAAGCACTACATACATATATGTTATACTTTAAAACCATATATATGCAATATATAATTATATCATTTCTACATTTTATATAACTTATTGACAACATTGATATAATATTCAGCTGGTCTTTGTAATAGTTCTCTGATATTTTTCAATAAAAATATTATAATACAAAATAAATAAATGAGAATTTAGTTTGTATTAATTACTGTATAGGTGTTATTGCATATGACTTCTAAATTTCCTCCTTTATAGAAACAAGTTTAATTCACACTATGAATAAATTGAGTTGTATGAGTTCGTTTTTTGTTTTGTTTTGTTTTTTTTTTGAGACAGAGTTTCACTCTTGTTACATAGGTAACAGGATGGAGTGCAGTGGTATGATCTCAGCTCACTGCAACCTCTACCTCCTGGATTCAAGCAATTCTCCAGCCTCAGCCTCCCAAGTAGCTGGATTACAGGCACGCACCACCACACCTGGCTAATTTTGTACTTTTAGTAGAGATGGAGTTTCACCATGTTGGTCAGGGGTGGCTTGAACTTCTAACCTCAGGTGATCTGTCCACCTCGGCCTCCCAAAGTGCTGGGATTACAGGTGTGAGCCACCACGGCCAGCCATGAGCTAGATTTTTAAGTGTAAGATACTAAGACTATTTTATGGGGAATATGCTAAGAGAAATTGAATTTTAAAAAGTAAAATGCTAAGATTATACTTACATGTGTAGGTGGTAAATGATTCTTTGCCTTTTGATCTATGTATATTTGTAGATGTCTTCCTCAAAGACAGTTAAGACTTCAAATAATGTTTCTTGCTCTTGTTACCAATATATGATAGGCTTCTTTCCCTAACAGGAAAAGATTTTTTATCATTCGTGGTGTGCTTTCGAAATTCTATTAAACATAGGTAATTAAAGGGCCAGATTCATGTTTCTTTTTGGTAAATTTCTGGCTTTTAGGACTGCCATTTTCCTTATGTTGGCATTTTAAAATTAAAGATCAATATGATTCTTAAAGAGGGGTAAGATTCTATTTTTCTTGGAATTAAGAATACACATTTATTAGTTTCTAAAAATTATTTTATAATAACTTATTTCTACTAGTGTTCATTCAAAAAACTTATAACACCAATATTAATAATGAAGTTTAAACAATACAAGCATCATTTTTAATGATTTATTATTTCATTTAAAAGAAAAGCAAACAAAACTATCTTCAGTTTCAGTTTTCCTAGATCTTACCTGTTAGAGCTTTCCCACCCATTTGTGACCTGTGGAAGTAGCACAGTACAGCAGAAAGAAGATAGGCTTGGTAGTAGCAGAGACTTGAATTGATAACCCATCTCTCAACTCAGTTGTGCATAAGTTACATAGACTCTGTGTGCCCCAGTTTTCTTAAGTAACTGGAGATCTATGATGCTTGCTGCACACTTACTATGAAAAAATAAAATAACATATGTATTAGTTTCTTCTCACACTGCTCTAAAGATACTACTTGAAACTGAGTAATTTATAAAGGAAAGAGGTTGAATTGACTGACAGTTTTGCATGGTTGGGGAGACCTCAGGAAACTTACAATCATGGTGGAAAGAGAAGGAGAAGCAAGTACCTTCTTGATAAGGCAGCAGGAAAGAGAAAGAGCAGGAGGAAATGTCAAATACTTATAAATTATAGGACTTGTGAGAACACACTCACTATTATGACAACACCATGGGGGAATCACCCACATGTTCCATTTGCCTCCTACCAGGTTACTCTCTCCACATGTGTGGATTACAATTCAAGATGAGATTTGGGTAGGGACACAAAGTCAAACTATATTGATGTATTACAGAATGTAAGTACAGTTCATATCTCTTCTCTTGCTTTTAAGAGGTACTATCTGCTGGGCACGGTAGCTCAGCCTGTATTCACCTGTAATCCCAACACTTTGGGAGACTGAGATGGGTGGATTACTTGAGGTCAGGAGTTCGAGACCAGCCTGGCCAACATGGTGAAACCCTGTCTCTACTAAAATACAAAAATTAGCCAGCCTTGGTGGTGGCCGCTGCAATGTCAGCTACAGGAGAGGCTGAGGCAGGAGAATCACTTGAACCCAGGAGGTTGGTTTTGCAGTGAGCTGAGATCACACTACTGCAATATAGTCTGGGTGACAGTGAGACTCCATTTCAAAAAAGGAAAAACAGAGGTAATATCTATCAGATTCTGGAAATTCCTTTTTTATTTATCACAAATACCATTCTTTATACATGTGAGTACTAGTGAAGAGAACGCCACCCAAGTAAAGGAAACAAAGTGGGAAGAATGAAAGGAGAAAAAGAAAGCTTTAAAACTGATTGCTTCCTGGAGAGGAAGAGCACCCATTCCTCTAACTTTTTTGAATCCTTCAGCTACAGCCCAAGAAAGAACTAAATGAAAGAAGAGGGTAATTGCTGATTATTTAAAGGGTAATTGTTATTAGCTGAGATAGAATGATCACATTTCAAAGCTTCATAACATTTTTTCTTTTAAACAAAGAAAGTATTTTCGTTAAATAGTATATAAAATTGTTCAGGTTAGATTTGGTCATGATGTCTAGGATGAGATAGATGAAAAATTTGGCTTAAACGCAGGGTATTGCTGGTATTTGCTGAAGCATAGAGGAGGAGAAATTGGAAGTTGTATGCATGAGAAAGATTATTTTATTTAAAAAACCTGGGCATGATATATCTTCAACAGGTGGAGTTTTCAAGAACATCAGCTGAGTTGCTTCTCAGATTTACAGCAGAAAATGAAGTCAAAGAAGGGATTTTTTTCATCTGCAGAGTTCCTAATTCACAGGAATAGCAAGATTTTCTTTGTAAATTGATTTTTGAGTTATTCATCTGAAGTGTGAAAGAACCCACAGTATTGTTTTCCTAGTAAACATTTCTTTTTGTTTGACTGTTCTGTTAACCCCTTAACCTTACCAGACTTTAACTATGAGACTTTTTGATGGCAGAGTGATTTCTTAGAAAAAGAGATTGGAAGATTCAGAAATGTTACACTATTCCTCTCTGTCAGGTGCAATTATGTTCCCCAGAGATTTTTCATCCCGGTTATCTATTTATATAATGTCAAGTTATCATGTCAGGACACCCTGTGGCAGGTTCAGCTGTTGAAGTGACTGTGTGAGTCCCACTCTGGACTGGCCATTGCTCACTCACTTTCTCTCCAGGTGACTAAAATCGGGTTTCATGCTGATCACCCTGCTGATTCTCCTTGGAAAAGTTTGCCAGAGTTTCTGTTGCCTGCTAGATTCACAAAGCCCACTCAACAAGTTTCCTAAGGAGTACACCCTCCTATTGATCATGTGTTGAACGTAAGAACATTTCTGTGAGTAGATGTATGTGAGTTTGTGCAAGAGAGAGATGGAGAAAGAACATGCTTTCTTGTTGAAATAAAACAGAATTTGTGAATAGGAGCAGACAGTTTTTGCTCCTGCTTGACACTGTGCATAAAAAAGAGGCTTGTGTTTCAGTTTTCTTAGGGGCTCAGTACCAGTGATTTTCATCTGTCTGTGTGTGTGTGTGTGTGTGTGTGTGTGTGTGTGTGTGTGTATCAGGGGGAAAGGATTTGGAAACATGGGGAGATTTAGGAGAATTCCTGAAGGCAGATTGACCACCACCGCAAAACAAAAAAAAAAAAATCAGGATTAGACATAATCCTTTTCCTTTCAGAGTATGAGGCATTCATAGGACAACACCCACTTTCATAATCAAGCAATTGCTTAAATTTTCATAGTAATACGAAAGTCTGAATGAGGTTTCATGCTACTCTGTAAAGAGGATGGAGCAACTCTGGGACAGGGCTATGGTTCCAGGCAAGAGCTGGGAGGAGATGATAACAGTCATTGGTTACAATTACCTGGGTTTCTCTTGGTCTCTGAGTTTCTGGCTAGAATCTCTCATTGGCACCAAACTCATTCTTATACAATGTCAGTCTCTGCATGGATTAAAAGCCTTTAAAAAATTTTTTTTGCTGGATCAAATCACTCTATGAGTCTAAGGTCTGAACCTAACATTCCATAATTTCAGTTTAATTAGGTTTATATGCTAGGAAATGTTTTCCTGCCAACTTCTACAATAAGATACTTGTCAGGCAGGAGCTAATCTTCAGTGCTCTCTGGACTAGTTCATAATTAATTTTAAGAACAAAAGTAGATTTATTAAAATTACTCATGTTGGACCATGTTGTCTGAACTAGAGGGCAAAATAAATAATCTCCAGGATTACTTTGCCACCTACTGTCCAGATGTTAGCATGGAGTACGATGAAGATACCTTTTTGGGCCACCTCAAGCTGTTTAAAATACCCCCAGCCCCCTCCTCAGTAATTTGTTACCAGCAGAGATTCTGGCTTGAGCAGCCATGAATTCCTAGGAGATAGAGGTTTCATGGGCACATTTTTACACATTCCATTACCATCAGGAAAGAAATAATTTTCCTCTCCAAGAGCAGACAATTGTTTCTAGGCTTGATTCTCCAATACTGGTGAAGTGTGTCTGTGTGTGTGTGTGTGTGTGTGTGTGTGTGTGCGCGTGTGTGCGTGCATAGGACTGGCAGCAATGAGGAGGCTTAATGTGTGTTTGCATTTGGATGGAAGGATTGATACTTGGAAACACTTTGCCAGGAGCATTTAATGATTGTCAATGAAACAAAGATAGTGAAGGGAATTAGCTTCCATGCTTCATCTGCAGCTCCTATCATTAGTCTAACTTCAACTAAGTAGCATGCTAGGCCCCTAGAGGACTAGCTGTGTGTTTCTCCCATAAAACATCGAAGTGGAAAAGATGTGGCACAGTAAAGAACACCACAGAGGGCTCTTGAGTGCCATAGGAAGCTTTCTAGATGGAAATAAAAGGGGATGTAAAAATGCACAACGCCACAGTCATGCCAAGCAGTCTCCTTAGCCAACATAAATGTTAAATCATATAGAAACTACTAGGAATGTTTTCAGTAAAGATGGCTTCACTGAAGCCATGCACAAAGATGATGAGAGAGGAGAGGACTTTGGGTAGGTACCATCTTGTGAGGACAAATAACTAATAACTGAAGACATTGGCTCTGGAGTGCTTGCTTGGGTCTTTGGCTAAAATTATAAACAACCGCCACAACCCCAAAACAAACATATTAATCCAGCGAAGCTCACATTATTTCTTCTACCCATTGACCTTAACTTCTCCACTAATATCCCTCTAAGACACTGACTTGAATACGTGTTTTACCAACCAATTGGGTCAGTAATGGTCATTGATAAGGGGAACAAAAGCCCCAAATTCAATCAAAACAAATCCTATATCTTTATCAGTCACACACAATTTGAGGACATAAAGTCTGGATAGGATAGTAGTAAGAAACTCACCCTTTTATCTAGAAATAAGGGTAAAGATATTTTCATTTAGAAAAAGAAATATTGCAAGTAATTAAATCAAATACCCATATTGCAATACCATGAAAGAGCCCTAACTTTTCATCTTACTTATTTTCCACCCCAACTCAGTGACTGGTTCACTCACTGCCCTCTTAACCCACTTAGTGCACTTCTTTTGCTGTTACTCTTCATGCTGCAACTTTCTGTCACTGTCTAGGTGTCCAAATCTCAACCACACTTCAGCACTCAACTTCTAACCTGGTCCTTTGATAATGTCCAGCTTCACAGTGGTATCTGCAGTCAGTATCGGTCCTTACTATTCATTTGGCATGTATTATTAACTTGCTTTCCTTTTAAAAGTTTCTTTATTTTGGAATGATTTTAGATTTATACAAGCATTGCAAAGATAGTATATAGAATTCCTGTATATATTTTATCCAGCTGCCCGTAAGGTTAATATCTTCTATCACTATGGTATACTTATCCAAACTAAGAAATTAACAGTGGCACAACTACACTACAGAGGTTATTTGGTTTTCTCTAGTTTTTAAAAATGACCTTTTTCTGCTCCAGAATTCAATCTAGAATAACACTTGCATTCAGTCATAATGTCACCTTACTGTCTACCCAATATCTGACAGTTTTTAAGTTTGTGTGTATGTATGTATACGTGTGTGTGTGTGTGTGTGTGAGAGAGAGAGATTTTGACACTTTTGAGGAGTACTGGAAAAATATTCTGTAGAGTGTCCCTCTGAATTTACCTTTAGGTTTTCTTATGATTAGATGAAGGTTATGAATTTTTGGAAAATAATGGAAAGATGAAATGTCCCCATCATAACATGACATTGTTAGGCTTCGTGTCCCCACCCAAATCTCATCTTGAATTATAATCCCTATAATCTCTCCATAATCCAAAAGTTTTAAGGAAGAGACCAGATTGTGGAAATTGGATCATGGGGACAGTTTCCCCAAATGCTGTTCTCATGATAGTGAATGAGTTCTCATGAGATCTGATGGTTTCATAAGCGTCTGCCAATTCTTCTG